GCTCCTCGCCGGGCTCGCCTGTCCACAGCCGCCGCCTTATTCGGCACGACCGAGGGCAGGTGACCTTCCCGGTGACTTCAGCAGGCTTTAGCCGAGGCTGTCGCGCCCGGTAAGACAGCGTTATCTCCATCTCCGCACCGTGGACCGGGCAGGTGGGGGCCTGGAGACACGGCAAAGGGAACAGAAACAGTTCAGCATTTTAAACCCTTTTTTCTCACGCGTGTCCTCAGCCCTCCTTCCATCTCCACCGAAGGCGTTGCTCTCTAGCCTAAGGCTAAAAACCGTATCTTCCCTTTCTTTTTACAGTGTTGAATATGAACATAGAGAATGTAATGCAGTTTTAGGAGGAAAATAAATGTTTTGTGATTTGGTTTTGGGGGGGAGGGGGGGGCTGGGGTGGTTTTTTTTTTGGTTTTTTTTTTTTACTGAGTGGAAAATCATCTCGTACAGCTCCACCTGCAGCTGATAACTGAATTCGAGCCTGAACATGAGACTGCCTGCTTGGGCTCTTCAGGAGCACATTTAGGATTAGGATATGCCATTAGAAGCATATCATCCCGGTGAGCGAGGCTCCAGCTGCAGGGAGGTCATCACCCCACAAATCGGTTCTCTCACATTTTAACTTCGCTTTTCCTTTCAAAGGGAGAAGAATAAGAAACAAGAAAACTTGAATGAAAACACAGCGTGCTAACTTAAGTATTTCATATCATACCCGTTTCTGCTTTCTCAACAGAAACAAAACAGCCTGCATGCCAGAAAGCCAGTTCTATCCTAAACTATTAATAACACCCGCCTAATTACAGAATCAAGTCTGGGGAACACAAAGGGCAGCATTTGCTATTAATAATGTGGCAAAGCAAAGCCTACACCTGCTTTCATCTTAACACGAACAGGGAAGAAACCAAAGTTGAGGCCTCACCTGCAGCTTCAGGACGAAGTTTACACTACTGGCTGTCGAAGACAAGGCTGGGGCTCTGAAAGCATTACCTACAGTGGTTCTGCTAAGAGGAGAGGGAACGGATGAGATCTGAAAACAGCAGAACACCAGCACAACTTTCTGAAGAAGGAATTTTAACCTTTATTCACAGCTAAGTAAGGCTACTATTTCCAGCAGCAAATGCAGCCGGGATCTAGAACAAAGTACAACAGAGACACAAAGATGGACAACAACAATGTACAGTCTTGTCGTGCAATATCTCAGCATGAGCCTGTCTGTGTCAATCACGGATAATTCTCCTCACCCCCTGACCAGACACGTACACCTAAGCTGCCTTTCCTTTGTTTACCAGAAGAGGATTTAAAACGTAGACCTCTTCTGTACAGTAACAACACACACAAACATAAAAGACTGGATATTCCCAGCTTTCCTCCTTCTCCCCCCTGTATCAACCCAAACCAAAAGTCTCAGGGAGCGTGTGCTTCCCACTACACCAGGCCATGGGACACAAAAAGAGGATTTAGAAGCCCATTCTCTGCTTGCAGCAACGTAAGTGGAATATAAGACAACAAAATGCCATGTTCTGAAAAAAAAATAAAAATTAAATTAAAATCTAGGCTTCATCCCAAAGGAAACATTTGGCCATATCACTGCTGTGCAGTTTACAACGCGCTTCTGAGTCAAACACGGACACACGATGACTCTGCTCCTGAGCAAGCGCTGCTGCTGCAGCATCAGGGTTATGCAACCACGTCCACCAGCGCTGCCAGCTCCGAAGCCTTGTTTTCTAAAATGAAGCCCTTGCTGCCTCCCCCGCACCTCCCTGGTATTCAAAGGATACATGGAATTTCTACAGACTATTCAGAATCAAATTATCTAGAAAGCACAAGCGTGTTGGCTGTTTATTAACATCTTAGCAGCTACCATCATGCTTAAAATTAAGTGGCACGCAAGAACTGGGGGTTGTGTACTTCAGCCTAGAAAAGCTCTACCAGTATTACAGAAGTCTTGCTTCACTGAAGGATGACCTTTCTACCTTAGAGAAACCTGCTGAAACGCTTGAACCAACTATGGGGAAAAACAAAACTGGGAAGAATCATTTAGTATCTGCATAAACAGAAAAACAAACTGACCTTCAGGTTATATTCTCTCGGATAAGACTGCATTATCATACAGTGATGCTACATGAGTTTTCATTAACATCTGCTGAAATAAATCAAACAAGAAATACAGTATGATCCTGGAACAATCTGGAGTATAGAATTTGCAAAAATCTTCCAGAGGGAGATGATCGATTCTTCATAATCGGAAAGCCGTCTACTTAAAAAGAAAAAAACACAAAAATAAATCAAACAAGAAATACAGTATGATCCTGGAACAATCTGGAGTATAGAATTTGCAAAAATCTTCCAGAGGGAGATGATCAATTCTTCATAATCGGAAAGCCGTCTACTTAAAAAGAAAAACACACAAAAAAAAAAAGCAGCAGGTAAATTTTGCATGTACACACTCCAACTGAAATAAAAGGAACATCAGCAGTTTTAATACCCCAGGAAACCACTAGAAGCTATATTAATTTTGCTATGTACTGCAGAAGTACACAGAGGAGTGAGGTCTCCTACCTTCAAGAACCACATGAAAGAAATGACTACAATAAAATATATAATCTCTGTGCAACAAATCATATCTGGTGGTCATGTTTTTATTAATTAATTCCAAATTAAGTTACCAAATCATCATTTAGGAGTATGTAGACTCTATGCATTTCTTTTTCTCAAAGCACTGTTTTAGTTATGCTTTGATAAGACCCCTCTCCATTGGTCTGTTTTAAAATTTTTACTATGCAGATTATTAGTTTCACAGAAAGCTTCCAAGCATGGACATCTGGTACTGATAAAACTTAAGGAAACAGCCATTTTTAATGCTGCACTGAATAACTTTTATAGCATCACGATTCCTGTTAACTTCTGCCAACCATTAGGTTTAGAAAACAGAAAAAGGTTAAGTGTATGGTTCAGGTAAATATGACAGCCGGTCACTAATGAGAATAAAAGGACTTTCCAGTCCAAAACCTAACTTCCCTAATGAAGTTACTCCTTCAAAATTAACAAACATACAAGATCTATAAACATTCAGATGTCCAACTTGGGGCTAAGTCAGCCAAAGAAAAAAGCAAGATTATATTGTGCTTTACTTTAAAGCTGAATTTAAGTTGTTATACATTAAATACTACGTAATACAGCTTGACATAAAAGTATTATCTATACAACTCTGGACATTTCATCAGCTTGCAAGAACATAAGGCTCTGAGGTGGTATTTCTCAGTGGACACTTATCCTTCAGGGAAGTCTGAAGCTATACACATACCAGAATTAGTATAGATGAGCTTTGAGCAGAATCATCTTTTCTTAAACATATTACATACTTGTTTCTTACTGTGGAAAGATGAGAATTCTTTTTCCCCATTACTTACTAATGACTTGGTTATTTCACGGTCCCTCATGACAAAAGTAAAAACTGCTATAGGTCATCATCTCTTTAGCAAAGCAACAGAAAAAAAAAGCTATCATAGGAACAATTACAGCTGTAAAGCCCACACACTATTTAAAAAAAAAAAAAACCAACCACTTGACAAGGAAAGTTCAACACATTTGAGGCTGTTAAAACCTTACTAATTGAAAATACTTTCAAGTGTAAGATTTTTTTTTAAAATTAGTTTCTGTCCATATCTGCAGTCCTGCAGAAGTCAATCAGTAGGTTACTATGAAGACTTTTTTATTTTGATTCATAGAGGCATCTGTAAAAGCTCACAGGGCAGTCAAATGACAAACTAACAAACTTTATGTTACACTAATCCTTTCAAAAGGAACTTGGCTAAACATGCATATTGGTTGAGATTCTTTCATGTTCTTCATCACTATGGGAGGTATAATCATGCTGTATGTAAAATCCTATCCTGTGCCTCTGTGTAGTTAACACAATCTACAGTCAGTCTTTCTGAAGGACTTTTCTGGTCACTGATATTACTTCCCAGAACAAGGACTGAGATGAATGACCTATAAGCATCTATTTGTATATTTAATGCATCTATGAAAGCTTTTCTAGCCGAGGCTTCTGCTTCAACTTACTGGGCACAATCACTCTATTACAGTTCTAGTATGTAATGTACAGCAGTTCTGTTCAAGTTAAAGCTGTGTTATGGTTCACTCATGCACTACAGTAACACGTGCATAGGCATCTGGCCAGGAGAATTTAGTCTGATAAGCAGGATTCAATGGGTGGGAAAGATACTTGGATATGTAAAACCATCGGCATAAATACTACTCATCTTGGAAGAGGTGGTATCAGTTAAAACTAAACTGACGCCTGGACATCCTTGAAACAGGAGCTTCGAGACCAAAATCAGAGCATTAAGAATTTGATGCAGTTTTGGGAAGAAACACTACAGAAGAATAAGTATCGGGCAGATTATGCTTGCGGGCAAAAGTGAAGCTGGAGCATTGCTAAGAGTATGTGGGAAACATGGTACTGGCACTGCTAGCAGCCCTAAAGCAAGCAGAATACCAAGCTTAGTAGGAGACTGAAACAAGTGCCAACTCAAGGATGTCTCCTACAGGAGAATATATATACACATCCCTGGAATTCTGGGCTGTGGTTTTAGGAAGTTCAGCTTGCTGCAGCTTCCTGCAGCATCCAGTGCTGTGTCATCATGTGAGATGTCCTTTAACATGAAAAAACTAAAAGACATACAATCTTACTCTGTTAGATTTCTAGTCCAGAACTGAAGCTCGTACACCAGATCATCCACCAAATCACCAATTTTTAAACCAAAATTGAGTCTATGCTGGGATTTCTTTATGAACTGCTACACAAGGACTGGCCATTAGGTGTCACCTTTGTACAGAATATGTATGATGATGTTCTCCACTAAGTTAATCAATAAAACAGTTTGCATAATAAAACCCCCAGAATACCAAGTTTTATAGAGTGCATAGAGCTAGCAAGCCAATCTGTCTAAAGATGTTCTGCAAAACAGCTAACAATCCTTAGAAACCACTGTTTCGGTGGATTCATTCCACTACTTCTTGCAGAGCTTTATACTAAGTTACTTACTAATCTAGTCAGGCTATACAGCTACGCAAATTCAAGTGTTTTTATTTCAATATTTCTGTAGGCTAGAATACTCACTTATTTACATTGCTTTTTCCACCCACAACTGGGTGTCGATTTCCTTAGAATGACAGAGGTCCTTTCCACAATAGAATTGATGGACAAGCCACTCAGGACACCTTTGTTGTTTTTCCTCACCTTCAGCAGAGCATCCACAATTTTGTCTCTGTATGAATAAAAGAAAGAACTATTTACATCACATCTTGTGCAACATATTTAGCACTTAGTTACCATGGATACTGGATCCACTACAAATCAGGGCAGAAATAAAATCCAAATAGTCTCACCTGCTAGCCTCTGGATGAATTTCTTGAAGTTTCTTCATTAATTTGGTAAAGCTGCTCAAGTTCAACATATTAGGAGAAATAAAGGCATCATATGAATTAATGAAGAATGGAGCAGATGTTTTCTGCATGAAATTTTCTCCAGTATCCTAGAATTGCATCAAAATAAGCAAAAAGTGAATGGGTTAAGTATCGTACAAGCAATACAATGTGTCTTTACTACTAATAAATATTCCTGTTATGGAGAAAGAAAAAATGACAGATACAGATTCAGATCAATAAGTTATTCTAATACAACCAGTCATATTATCTAATCTGTAAATTAAAACTACTACATGCATTTTTGTGTA